GTGAGACATGGAGAAGAGTATTAGTGTGATATTACCGATTTGTCTGGTTCACGCCTTTGTGTCAAACAAGTTGCAGTACGAGAATTTCCTGAGTGGAAATCAATCTGCGTGTATGCGCGATACTTTCAGATCGTTCAGACAAAAAATAACAATTTTTCACGAGATTCACAACTGGTTCGGTCGGATAATCGAAGCCCTATCTGCAAGGCAGCACTATGCACATCTGCGCTTTCTGGTGGTGAAATTGAGGTCCCTAGATAAAGGAAAAGAATAAACAGAATACGATGGCATCACGTGAATGAGCAATAACGGATAAGTGATAACCAACGGAAAACCAAAAATGAAGATTCCAATCAATTCGGAAGTTGGAACAATATGTTTAGTTGAGATTGGGTACCAATACTCTACAGGACATTCATTATCTGTGACTGATTTGTTACGGATATAGAAGAGAAAGAATGATATAAATAATAATAATAATAATAATAAATATAATAATAAATAATATAAAACTGCATAATAAAGTTTTACAAATCCATCTATGACTGATAAGGCTGTTGAACTAATTGATCACTCGAAGGTGAATGAGCATGATCTCGGGGGTATCGTGAAGGAGGGATATTGTATGATCATTATGTTTGTTTTCACAAAAACCAACGCAAGTGATCGCCAAGTCAAGACCCATTAGCAGACGAGTGAGAAAAGCAAACATGGATTAGCATGAGCGGAGTTTTATTTCTCAACATAGTGATACTAAAAGTAAACCGTCATATTGTACACGGAAAGGATAATGATACGTGCATTTTATACTACTTATTAGCAGTGTTCATTCTCTGGTATACAATGCATGTTGACCAAAATTGATCCGTTTATCAATCAAAATTTTAGCCTTTTTTAAGATTCTCATCTTATCAAAGCATTTACTGCCTCCCGGGACATATAATTGTGTACAGAGAAATTGGTTTATGTGTAATGCAACAGACTAATTCTGATAAAACGAGGAGTGAATGCCCAAACACTGATTGTGTCACACGGCTTCCGATAAAAGTGATTGGTAGATTCATTTGATTTTAGAATCTTTTTTGTCTTGAAAATGCATTAGCATACAATGAGGAGATGAAATTTGAAATAAACATCGACTTTAAATTTGTTCTAGCACAATCAATCATTTTATCCATAAACCGACACGACCTTTATTTTGATTTGACCAAAACTTCATCAATTCATCCGTGAAAAGAGTTCATAACTGTAGAATGAAAATGCTAGCTAGAGTTTGATTCTGTCCCAGCTCTTGTGCAGAAACAACTTGCAACGCAGACATACTTGCGGTGAGTAAACTGGATCGAGTTTGTATCCTCGTTACGCCTTGATAACCGAGCTGTAATTCACTTCTATCAATCCTCTCCACCAAACAGAAACAGTCGGTTCCGGACTTTGTATCGCAGTCGTAGTTATATAAATTCTAACTTGGCTGCCAGCCAGATAGAGAAACATTTCACTAGTCAAATCTGTTAGTAAAATGGCTAGAAGACAAGTCAAATGAAATGTATGTCACTTTCGAATTGATGAGTAGCTCACCGCCACGGCGGATTATATCAACCAAACCATAGATGCAAGGCACAGCCCCTGATAGGAGAATTGGGCCGTAAGCAGACAACTAACATTACGCTCTATTATAATCAAGACTCCAATTCGTGCTCGGTCAAATAATTGTCCTATACCCCGACCAGTGAAGTTCATTTAACGAGGAGAAGGCAACCCGATTATGCTTTTCATCAAAACCGTGGAAATATATAGCTACACAAAATGATGCATAATCCTTGCTGTTGTTACGCCCGTGATAAAACGCAGAGGGTCTATTGTTAGCTGGCTGAATCCTCAAAATTTAAATCCAAATTGAAATATTACTCACCACGGACATGAAGGTAATGCACAGCAATTTCGGTACCGAAACAGGCATTAAGGGTGACTTGGCAAGTATCATATTGCATTATATTGGTGAGTATTGCATTGAAGCTTGAGCGAGTTATATACCAGCTTTCAGTAAGAGACCACTGCGTTAGAAAGCTCAGAACAAACACTCTCCATGTCAGTCAGTGTCCGGACAAGATAGGGTACTAGGGAGATTCTGTAAGCAGATATCCGTCATGGGATTAGTTTGTATTTGGAAAGGGTGGAGGGGTGGGATTTGCATGCATACAGGTCAATGTGTAAAGAATGGATGCAGTCAAATAGAATATTGTAAACTTCAAGTATGCATCAATATGAGCATCACAGTTATTACACATCAGAACAAATACCGGATTTTGGAAAACACGGCTGATCATTGAGAGACCTCACCTCAGCAGCTGGATATTGGCCTTCAGCAAACCAGGGAAAACCACAGAGGACCAGAAAAAGGGGTATAGGGAGAACACATTGTTGAGCAAAAGCTCCTATCACCGACAAATCAGAACAGAAATGGTACAATCTGTTTAACTAAAAGGAGAGAACAGCCAACTTTCGAGCACCAGTTTCATTCTGTAAAGACCAGCGATACTTATGTACTTTACATGGCTGACTCTGAAGCTGTGCATTGCCGAAGAGAAATCTTTCACAGCAAGAAAGGTAAGAAGAACATTGTAAGGTGTGAAGAACCGAGCCCCAAGGCCACATGTATAATCGCTTTTTGGCTCTAAAACCTCAGCCTTTGAAATTAGGTTGATGAACCGCAAAAGCCATCTCATAGGAAAGACGTGATTTGGAGTCAAACAACAGCGAAGCTATCCGTCACCTGGAAGGTTACCCGGGATGAAGAGTTTGGAAAAAAAACACTAAGAATCAGCTAGTTTACCGAACATTTTTGCATAAAACGACAGGCTGCGGACCTTGATGAAAAAAATTTCAACCTGAGTATAGACCGGGAAAGGTTATGGGTAGTATTCTTGCATTCTACGTGCGGGATCCCGAATACTCAGGGCTGATGAGGCCCAAACAGGTCGAAACAGTTGTACAGGCTTTCGGTTCACGGTTCTTCATCTACTCTATACAAGACGAAATTTACTATATGAGTGAATCAATACCCTTCATTACTATCTTGCATTCAATGGAGTCAGCTTTGACACGACACTGACTATCGACAACAAGATCGGGGAGATCTAATTGGGGCCAGTTTTGAAGCTGAAGAGAATGCCAACATACAGGTTGATGATGATCACAATATAGCAATGGTGGTAAGAAACAAGTTTGCAGTTTTCATTAGGACCATTTAGGGAGGACGGCGGGATACGTAACTGCATGTACTAGGGGGAGTGAGAACATGGTGTATGTATATCAAATGGATGGGGAGAGAACAGAACCGTGTATAA